CCGTATTTTACCACATCAGGATGAAGGGGTAACCAATGAGAACCTACAGAGTGGCGCGCAAACTCCGCCCATGTGCACAGCGCGCAATTTTCAATATCTTACAGGTTTTTCAATCTGTTCCATTGTTTAGCACGCTACAAACTCAATTGTAACTAGCTATCGGAGGGCTAACCCCGATACTTCATCCTCTAAATAAAAAATTCAGATAGAAAAATATAAATAGAAATACTGCTTATATTTTGATGAAAAACTGGTTTAAATCAATGGATCCGCGTTACTCGAAATGCTTGGTGCTTGGAGTTGGCAAAACAGTCAAGAACAAAAGAACAGTTTAGGATACTAGAAATTCAAGGAATGAATTTCAAAAATCGATAACGATTAGTCGAGTCGAGGACGTCAGCCTATACATTTCTAGCTATAGAGTAAAGCAGCATCATTAAGTTCCTCTCTCGCTGAAACAGCCCAGGAACAATTAAAACACGCTGATCCCTCGTGTTATCGTTAAGAACATAAATACCATGACGGGGAAGGGTTTAGTAGGAAGGGCAACGGGAAACTGTTACAGTAGCCTCTTTTCTCTAGAACGGATTCATATTTCGGAGAGCATGCCTTAAGTTAGGAATAACTTGGAAGGGAGCAGTTCAGTTCTTTTCCTGAGGTCAGGTCACCAGAGCTGCGCGATCATTGAAACCCAAGGTTAGCTTGGGTTTAGGTTTAGGTTTAGGCTTATGCTTACACATTGGCTTATGCTTAAGCCTATGATTGGGCCTAGGCTTAGTCCTAAGCTTGCTTCGAGCAAATGAGTGGTGTCTCAATTTTAGGTGACCTGACCTGAGGAGAAGAACTGCAACGCACCCACTTATAAACCGTAATATATAGATGGTGAGGAGAAGGATTCGCTTGATTTCGCCATGATAGTGAAGAAAAGCGAAGGAGGTGTTCCATTAGAGGAACAAGTTTCTCCGCTAAGGCTAGATGGAGTATTGTTCAATAGTGTACAGGTTGAATCATCGAATTCTAATACTTCAATGGTAGCCAGAAGAAGTAGAAGAATTGCTGGCTCAGGAGAAACCCTTAATTTTCCCCTTATTGATCACGCGTTCCTTAAGATTTCGACAGGTTTCTGTCCAGAAATTTGCAATAAAGCTGCCAAACGTGCACGAAGGCTCGAATCAACAACAGGAAGGGAAGATTGGCGTTATTTCAAGCATAGCGACAATTTATGAAAAAACACATTTCAGTGGTCACTAAAAGCCCGCATGAGGTCCAAAAATACATCAGACCATTAGATTCCTTTTGGAGGAACCTCTCCTTTTATTTATCCCTCGCTAAGCTCATGGGTTTCGAAACGCTGGATAGCACTTGCGAGCAGGGTCAACCGTCACGTTGGACCAATTCCGGAAACTTTACGACCCCCTCCCCCCCTTAAGAGAATGAATTGCTTCCATTCCAAAGCAATAAATTCGAGATAGCGAAGTCAACCTTGTCCAGGTGATACTATTTTACCTTCAACCTATCCAATGAACTCATCTCAAGCTCCATGGAGGCCATTCAAATACTCCGATTAAAATATTTCATATAGTAATTTCTGGAAGTTATTGATTACAGAACATTTTCCGTCATAAACCACTTCCCCAGATTGGGTTATTCCTTTTACTTTAGACTTGGATCCTATTTTTCAGTTTTGATAATACTATGAATTTCACTTCACAGCACTGTACAACACTTACTTACCAGGTAGAGAATCCTCATTGTCTGCTGAAACTATAGAAATTAATGCCTCAATAAAAATCATATTCTCACCATCTTCATGAGTTCGCCGCCGTAACGGACTACTTTCAGGTCCAAAGCCTTCTACGGTAGCAGCTGCGACGGTGACCTCGTAGACGGTGAACGGTTGCAGACCAGTCACGTTCGCCATCACATCACTAGCATTCCACAGAGTGCTGTACCAAGTAGGTGGCTTCGTTGCAAGTATCTCATCATCGACGACTTCCTCATAGCTTGAGCTCACACTCTCCGAGGTAGCATTCTCGGTCGTCACAACACGATACCGTACACGATACTGAACCAAGGGATTCCTGCCAGCATCCGGAGCCGCCCACAGCACATGCAGAGCCGTAGGCGAAATGGCGGTGACGTTCAGAAGACGTGGGGGTCCAGTAGGTGCTGCACAATCAGTACTTCACGAACAGTACAACGATACGACACAATGGTTCATGCAAAGAGATTAAAAGGTAACTTTACTTTGATTCCATTTCGTCGACCACGATCGGTTCACAAAATTCGCCTTGGCCACGGGGCTGATATTCGCCACCTACTACTGGAAGCCAGTATGGGATAATGATTTAGTGCTTGACTCTCGTTCTTTTTCTACAATTTTAGGCACACCCCTCTAGATAGCCTGGCAAAGGGACTGAATTGATTAAAAACATTATGCTTACCGAAATGCGTAGTTGGTATCCGGCTCCAGACCCATCACGACGTGCTTTTCGTGCGGTGAAGTCAACGTGTACTCCTTTTTCGCCATCGCTGGAGTTGAACCACACCACATATCCTGAAGTGATTCTCTAATTTTTAGGGCGGACTCTAAAGCCAACCCATTAGAAAACAGGTAGCCGGTTGCGTCGGTGGGGCCACGGTTGAGAAATTTCCATGGGAAACGGCCCAGAACCTTAAACTTTTCTACCCTCGACTTCAGCATTGATGCGATCTCATCGGTACTTCTCTTTCCTGGTATGTTGATTAGACTTTACACGAATGACTGGAATGGAAGGTCAAATGGTTCCAAGTTTTCGTGTAACATAGCAAGCCAACGTTGCTTCGACCGTGCCCCTAGGTCGCTTTCTTCAAAGAAATTTCTTCGTATGAATGCTGCTAGACCTTTACCACAGAAAACGATACCTTAAAGGAATCTTCCACGGAAAGAGTGATCATTTTGTCTTGTGTGTAGGATTAGTATTATCGAAACTAACGCTTATGTTCCGTTCTTTTTGCTATGCTCATGAGGCTAGGGGCCTAAGGTATCGTTTTTCTGTGGTAATGGAGGCGGAGCTTTTTCCGTGGAAGATTCCTTTAAAGCAAGGATGCCAAACGATAGTGCGGCTCCGAAGTCGAACGGAAGGCGGAAATTAAGCCAAGCCGTAAGGCAGGCAGGCTAAGTAAAGTTCCTGGAAGATGCGCGCTCCGAAGTGAGGTGTATGCCTCAGCCGCCTTGCAAGGCCCGATTGGCGCTGACGCGCTGCCGGCACGCCCACAGTACCATCGTTTGAACTGTAGTAGCCCGTTTAGACAGAAGCACTTAGCGTGAGGCGGTATCGATGCATATTCGTATCAACTGTCAGAAAGTTGTCCAATTTCTGTGTTCTGGGATGTTAGTCAACGGCTTTTTCTTAATCCTTGCACATTAGGAACAGCTCTACTTTGATTTCCATTGGGCTGCGATTCCAGTAAATTTGCCCCTGATGTCAAAAAAGTGATAGAATAAGAAGAGGGAGGTGCCCCGATCGAAAAAGAATCGAGCAGACTAATGTATGAGCCAGCCACTCGAAGACAGGGAATGCGAACATTCGACTGATCATGTAATATGAGTGGCCAGTAGAAAGGAAAAGCATTCAGAAGCCTCAACAGACGGCGTGCGAGGACTCAGCAGTGAAAGACGCGCTTCAAGAGTTGGTAAAGTAAGTATGCATTTTTTCCGCCTTCTTTGTCCATTATATTCGAACCTCAACTAAATTAGGGTACCCACTGCCTTTAATTGCGCTTTCGCCTTCTTCCCTGGTCCTGGTAAGTTAGCCCTGCATTTAGGTCTCTTTGAAGTCTACAGAACTATTCTATAGAGAATTTTGATGAAAATAATGGAACAAACCTCAAATATATTGATACGATAGCTCAGTACAAACTACAAATCTGAACCTTTTAAGAATTAGTTCTGAAGAAAAACTAAATCTCACCAGTTACTGGAAGCGAAAATAGCGGTTTCTCCCAAGCGAGCTGCACTCGGCGCGAGTCAAGCGGCTTGGCGGTGAGCGATACCGGCTGGCCAGGTACTGTAAACACGTGATTAATTGGGCGAAGCTTGAAGTGCTGCATCAATTTTTTGGATTCCTTCTGTTTTGTTGGACAGCTACTTTTTGCCGCTGTCATCTGCAAGGAAGCCAACAACAGTGATAAGCTTAGACAACGTCTGACAGGGCTCGAATCCAAGACCTTCCAGAAAAGATCGGATCTCAAAAATAAGTAGCTCAAATTTGACTTTACTCACTTCCATGTTTAGTAGTCACAGTAGCCACAGAGCTCATCTCGCTATCTCCTTTGACGTTTCGAGCTTGAACAGCGATGAAGTAACGTGTGTCCGTTTCTAAGCCGTACAACGTCGCCACCAATTCGTCCGACTTGGTTTCTTGCTGAAATTAATAGGATAAGGATTCGAAGCGAAGGTGGAAACGAAGGTTCGTACCATTTGCCAGTACG